ACCAAGTTTGTGTGCACATTTATGCATACAGAAAAAGTTAGTAGGAAAAGACAAAATATTAAGTAAATCTGTGTGGTAGGACCACAAATACTATTTCTTCTTTACTTCTTACCTGTCAATTTTTAACATGAAACATATATTAGTTTATTATAAAAATAAAGTTATTTTTATTGTGACCAAAGTAAAACAAACCTCTTCGTAAATGTACACTATAAACTTTTCTATATCTAAAAACCATGATAGAGTCAGCATAATTTAATCTTCTCTTGAGGAGCTGGCATTACTATGAGCATAAAATTTAATGAGTTCACTTCCGGGAGAACATGGCAGATAAATAACAGCAGCCACGGAGGCTCTCTGAGATTACCAGCTTAGAATCCAGGAATGGTGCCGTGTGAGGAGTCCTAAGTGAGGGGAGATGTACCATGCTGACCCAGAAACAAACTAAGCTGAGAGAAACCAACTGGAAATGCAATCCTGACGCTATAACAGGAACACATAAAATCTCAGCACGGAAGCTGGAGCCCAGGCCACTGGAAGCCAGGATTTGAATTCCCTGCTGCTGCTGCTTCCTCCCAATCAGCAAGGCAGGGAGAGAGACGAGCGAAAGCTCTGAGAGCGGGAATCCACAAACCAAACGGCGTTGAGAACAGGACTAGCAGGGAGCCCTGTATCGAGCTGTGGTGAGTGAGAGAAATGGGGACCCTTTCATAGACTAGGAGGCTTCAACAGAGGACATTCTGGGACCGGGCAGACTAGCTGGAACAGAACATTGCAGTGACTTTAGTCGCATATCCCCTCTCAAGCGGGATTGGTGGGGAGCGCTGGGCCTGGTGATGCTGCAGACTAAGATCCAGTAGGCTAGCCCAAACCAGGTCCCTGTGCCTGGTGGTGCACCCTAGCAGTGAAGCCTTCACTAGATTGATCTGGAGGGACGGGCCCAGCAGAGGCTGCCCAGGTCTGTGTCTCCCTAGTACACTGCAGTGGGCGGGAACACCTAGCCAGCGGATTCAAACAAACTGTAACAGACAAAGAGAATAAAAAACTAGGCCTCCTACATACGCTTATATGGAAGGACAAAAAGTATCGGAAGAGGGACCAACAAGAAAGGGTCCTCAGTCCCCAATCCTGAGAACACTGATCCAGGAAAGGTAAATGCAAAGGAGAATGAGGACAGAAAACATGCAATATCAGACATGGCACCAATAGACATAAAGTGATATCTCCAGAGCCTCATAGACAAGTTCAAAAATGAAGTATTTAATGAAATAAAGCAAGATATAAGTAGAATACTTAGAGAAATGCTAAGCACTGCCCAGGAAAAAACACACGGTGGAATGGAAGAACAGAAAAAAGGGGAGAATTGTTTGATGGAGAAAATAGAGAAAACATAGAATACATGAAGCAGGTTCAAAGAGATTACCAGGAAACTAAAAACTCTATTGAAAGCTGGCATAACAGCTTGAAAGAAACTAAGGATAGATTATCAGAACTGGAGGACAGATTTGTAAGGTAGGAGCATGAAATGAAAAACTTCCTAAAAATAACAAGAAAACAAACAGCAATAATACAAAGGCTAGAAGATGATAAGAAGATCTATAACTTAAGAATTAAGAACATAAAAGAAGAAGTAGGGACACAAACAAATGGACTACAAAAGCTATTCACAGAAATAATCCAGGAGAATTTCCCTAACTTAGCAAAAGGTAAAGATACTCAGACGTATGAGGCATACAGGACCCCAGCCACCAACAACCCAAACAGAGCTACACCCAGGCATATAATAATCAAAATTCCAGAAATCCAATGTAAGAGCAGAATATTAAAAGCCGTCAGAGACAAGAAACAGATCACTTACAAGGGAACACCCATCAGAATTACAGCAGATTTCTCAGCATAAACCATCAAATCACAAAGAGCGTGGGGGGAAATAATTCAAGCTTTGAAAGATAATAACCTCCACCCAAGACTGATATATTCTGCACAACTGTCTCTAGAAATTGATGGAAAAACAAGGTGCTTCCAGGATAAAGAGGAACTAGGGGAATTTGTAACCACCAATTCAACTCTACAGAGAACACTGCAGGATATTCTAAAAAAGAAAAATACCAAGAATCCAGAAACAGTGGCAGAGAGGCCACAATGAATGAAGCAGAAAGCGAAATGAAGAAGACAAACTGACAACTAATGACTAGAAAAAGAGCTCAACAGAAATGAGGCAGAGAAGGTTGGATAGTAGGAACAGCCATTTTGGAGAAAACAAGACATCATAATAGCTAGTGCTTATTTAATATCATCTTGTTTTGAAGTCCCATCAAGCTTTTGTTCTTCTGTCTCCATCGGTTTTAACCTGTTGTATCTTATTGGACTTTATTATATGTGATAATATAAACAAAACCTTTATAGACAAGGAGATTATACAGAAACCATTGTTCATTTTCTATTAGTTGATTCTAAATACCCTGTAATACTGTCATTCTCTTGAATGGTTTTACATTGTCTTGATATGTTTAATGTTACAGTATATGAAGTTATAGCCAAAGATTTTAAGGAAAGGGACACTATGGTAAATATTTTTATGTTGAAATTATCTTGTGGTGAAACACTAGTTTGCTTAAATGGCTATGTTTTGACCTGTGCTGTTTTGTTGTTATGCCCTCTTTTTTATCTCAATCTCCTTTTTATTATCTACTTTTTCAATTTTATCCTTTTAATTAAGGGAAAAATAAATTTAAAATAGCAGGATATATTATAGTAACCCACTTTTATTTCCTATTAACTTGATTTGAAATCCTGTATTGCTCTCACCATCTTGTTTTGACTGATTTTCCTCTATTCTGTTTTGCTTGATACTACCAAGTTTGAAATTATAGGCAACAACTATGAAGACAGTAAGATTCATTATGATGCCCATTCTGGTTGACTATTATCTTCTTTTGAAGTCCTCTAATGTCTCCAATGTTTTGGTTTTATTGGTCTTGATCTTTACTGTTTTGTTCAATTTTATTATAACTGATGATATAGGCAATCTGGTTTTTTTTTTTTTTTTTGGTCTTTTTCCTTTTTTATCGGTACTGGGGATCGAACTCATGACTGCCTGGTTACAAGGCAGGCGCTTATGCCACTGAGCTAAATCCCCAGCACCTAGGCAATTCTTTTTAAGACAGCAAGAGGCATTAATGGTAAGCTTTGTTGATCACCTTGTATTTTGTTTTTACATTATGTATTATGTCCATCCTTTTGATTTGACTGACTCTGTCCTATTATGTCACATTTACGTTCTTCAAAAAAAAAGTAATAAGAACAGTGGGAGTAATAAAACCCAAAATGTGTAATTGTCATTGTACAAAAGAGAGGAAAAGAAAGTGCTCTAAAGGACATAATTGTATGTATATTTAAGTGTATAGGATAGGTAACCATATTACCAAGTTTTATTGGATCACTGAACAGAACTGTTTGCAGTCTCACTGTTTGAATGTCCACTCTATATGCTTTAATTTTGTAAAACTTGAACAATTATTTCTAAGATGACAATATGTAATCTATTAACTAGTGATTTCCTACTGTTTATTTTTTCTGAAATTCTGTATAACTTGTACCTTTTTTCTGTTTTTTTCTTTTTTCTCCTTAAATAAAATTTTTTAAAAATTTAATGAGTTCATGAAGTTGTAGGTAGTACAATAAAGAAAAATAAAATGGCATAGATTCAAGCAGTAGACCTGGAAATTTTTCTTTTTATGGTTCTTTTTGCTTGCTCTTTGGTAATTTTTTTCTCCATAAAGATATCTATAAAATAAATACCTGACCATTATACACAGCTGGGTAACATAATACAGACAGCTGCTTTTTAAAATACCACCATTATTATGGCCAAGTAGGAGGAAATTTCTTTCAAATACTGCTCCTGTTCTATAAGAACATGTTTCCATACTGTTTCTACCAGAATCGAACTGAACAGAATGCAAAACAAATGTAATTTCTACATTTGTATCTGTGACACAAGTACTTTCATCTCAGTACACATTCACTCTTTCATACCTAGTCATCTAAATTTGATTCTTAAGAATAAATGCAGAACAACACTATTACTTAAAAAAAATCATCATAAAGGAGACGATAATAAACACAAAGTGTCTCAGATATAGATGGTAAATGGAACACAGGCTTTTCACTACACTGACCCTGGATATCTCATTAAACATTACAGTAATTTTTTCTCTTTCATTTCTGTTCCTCCCACCCCTAAGCATAAATCCATGAGGTTGCCTGGCAAATGCAAGGTCCTGAGTTTGATTCCTGGAACCAAAAAATAAATTAATTAATTGATAAAATAAAATATTTTTAACCATGAGGTAAAATAAGAAAGGAAACAACAGCAGCAAAACTTCAGAAGCTGGAAAATGGATGAATAATAACTGACTTTGCAAACCAAAAAGTTGAACTTTAAATGAACAGGAAAAGTTAAGAATTCAGTCTTCTCCATCGAGCCTCACCCCCCAAATGCCCTAGAATCTTCTACCACACATTACTGAAAACAGGGTTAAAGAAGGGATGAAAAAAAGGTCTGGGTGAATATTTATAAAACTATTTGATTCCTAAAGCCTCTATATCTCTCCAAAACCTAAAATATCATGTTACGCAGAAACAGAACATTTAAAATACACACACGCATACATTTATATATATATTTTTGAACATATATTTTTTAAAGACAGGTAAACCCAGTAATGAAATGCCCCATCCCAATTTCTACAATGTACTTTATTCTTCAACAATTTAGATCAAACAAATGTTGTAGAATGTTAATAATTTTTAAATGGTGATGAATAGATGAGTATCATATTTCTATTTTTCAGTAAAGTTAACATTTCTAATAAAAAGTGAAGAAGAAAATTATTTTTAAAGATCCATACATGAAGTAGAGTTCAATCTCTGTGGCTATTTTTAAGAGAAAACAAGCTAAAGAGAGGAAAACTAGGAATATTTCATGGTTATCTTACCATATCCTGCCATAGAAGCACCATTCTCGACATCTACGGTGTTCTTATTTTCCTCTGCAAGAGCTTTAACGTATCTTTTGCTTAAATCTAATATTTGCTCACGTAACTTGACACTGCTTTGATGTCTTGGTTGCTGAAAAGTATAGTGCAGTAACATCATTCCCCAAAGGAGTCCAAACACAAGTAACAATAAACTCAACTTCTGGGACATATTTTTTCTTGAGATTGTAAAAAACATTTTCAATGAAGAAAGCAGACTTGATTGTAAAGCAGCAACTGGAGACAAGCCCTCAAACAAAACTTTTGAGAGAAAAAAGAAAAAACTTCTCTAACGTATATGCTTCATCTTCGGCAAGGTTGCTCCACTCTTACATTAACTCTGTAAATTGAGACAAAAAAAGGTAGTTAGTCCCACACGTAATGGTAACAGAATAGTGATTTTAAAAAGATTCTGTAGTTTTGATTTGGAACTGTGTTATTTCGTTGACAACTTTCTCACTGCCAGTGGACATTTTTGTCTTTTACTAGTTTCATTCATGTAACTTTTCAAAATTTTAACTATAGAAACATCAATTCATTGAAAATATCTGAAAAAGTCACCATAGTAATCTCTTCTCATTTAACTAAAATCACAGACACATAATAGATTTATAGGAGATCTCTATCTGTTCAAACACATCACTAACCTAATCACCTAACAGCTCTCCGTATTAAACAAAAAGTGAATGCCAAAATAAAAGTCTGAAATAAGGAAAGATAAAATGGATTCGAAAATCAAAATGCCTGTCTAAGAAGAATTTCCACAAGGTACCAGGAATCTAGCTCAGTAGCATGAGCACCTGCCTGTCAATCACAAAGTAGTGAGTTCAATCCTCGGTACCCCCAAAAAAAGAATTTCCACAAGGCAAATAAAGTACAAACATGTGCAAATATCACTAGAAGACATTATTAACAGAAATGAGGTAACCCTAGAAAACATCCCACCTATGAGGAAAAATAAGTTGTTTTCAAGTTATTACCTTATAAAATGATAGTAGATATAATAGTGATTACTTAACGACAAGTCTTAAAACAGGTTAAGATATGTTTCTATATTTCTAAACTTACAATTTCACATTTTAAGTGAAAAAAGTATGCACTTTGGATTAGACAAGGAAAAATTTAAAGATTATACTTCAACATTGTAGGTGCACAGGTATGTGCATGTGTGTGGTACTGGCACTAAAACCAGTTTACCACAGGAAGCTCTTTCACTAAGCTATATCCCTACTCCTTGCAAGTAACATTTACCTTTATATAAAATATCAAAATACAAAAATTCTCTATAGGATGTGTGAATTAAAGCATACGGAAGAGGGGACATTCTCAGCCCAGTCAATTCACTTGTCTTGCTCAGAAAACACCCAGTGTGTCACCTGGTCACGCCAACTAAATTCTGGAGCTCCAAGGTTTGAACATCCATCCATTCTGGTCAAAGTGTACTCTCCTGCCAAATCCCACCACAAGCATGACTATACCATTAATGAATACCTTACTGTCACAAACAATATGTGTACTGAAAATTGGAAATTAACTCCTTTTCAAATTTCCTTTTACATATTTCTTAACATTCACAAAACAAGTTTCTTTGGATCTTATTGTTTAAAAAATCATTAATATCCACACTGAAGTACTAAATTTTGCTTTATTATTTGTTTTGGTTTGGTTTTGTTTTGTTTTGTTGAAACAGGGTCTCACTATGTAGTTTAAACTGGCCTTGAACTCACTTCGCAACCCAGGCTGGCCTCAAACTCACGGCTATCCTCCTACCTGCACACCTGGCAAACTTGGTTCATTATCAAAATGAGGAAACATCTTTTCTAAAGATATTTTACATCTGAGCTCAGAAAGCAGGCCAGAAATACAGCTCAATGGCACAGTGCTTACTGGCAAGCATGAGGTCATGAGTTTGAGTCCCAGAACCAAAAAAAAAAAAAAAAAAAAAAAAAACCACACATACACACACACAGATTATAGATTTCCAAGCAAGAAGTTTGAAGTGCTTTACATATTTACACTCAGTTTATTCTTCATCAATCTTTACTGGATCTTCTTTGTGTTTAACTGTTACTCCTAGGCTAGCAGCCAGAGGAAGGATCTACTGGGAACCTGTCCTGAAGCAGTCACAGCATCAGCTCCAGAATTGGTAGACTACAAAGCCAGGTGAGTGACATCACTAAGAATGTAGAACATAGCCTGTAGATATTTTTGGTCACTTTATGCTAATTAAACTCATTGTATTTTCACCCTACCTACATTAATACATTTTCAACTAACAAGTAAGAAAACTGAGGGTAAAAGAAGTTAGTAATTTGCCCAACATCATATAACCGCACAGTAGTAAAGACAGGATTCAACCTCCGGCTCTTCACTACTGCCCCTCTACAGCAACAACAGTAAGACAGCAGCAGCAGGGACTGCAACGGTGAACTGAGCTCTTGTTATGTACCTATGTTTTGGTAAATACTTCACAGAGTTATTTCATTTAACGTCTGTAGCAATCCCACAAGGAATATGCTACTATTTTCACATTAAAAATGACCAAATTAAGATTTAGAGAGATTAACCTACCTAAGCTTTTTATCAATGCCTACTGACATCAGCTGCCTAAAGTCTGGTAAGAACTAAAAATCCAAAAGTTCAGAATCTGTATCTCTGTTCGGGGTTTGTCATTGCTTTTAAAACTCCTTAATATAATGACTGCCCATTGGCAACAACCCCTGGAACTCCATTAAAGCCATTCTGGAACTGGAACTGACTAGATCTCCCCACTAGAGGTCAGAAGACAACAAAACTGATTAAAACTTCACAAGATAAAAATGCAATTCCTCCCTTGACTTCTGACTCAGGCTCTCCAAAAGGTAGTATGTACAGACTTGCTTATCACCTCCTTATCTAAACCTAAAAGGCCTTCTGTAAGCCAGGGGAAATGATCTTGTCAAACACCAGGTATAAACTTATAATTTTAAACACAATGAGTGTTTCAGGAATATTTACAAGGTTCTAGATGATCCTAAAAAAAGACTCTCTTCAATCACATTTGTGCCTAGATCCTTTTTCTATATCCTCAAACTCTGTAAGACCCCAATCTTTAGCCCAAAGCCTGTGATTACTCTCTTGGAAACTCAGCTGTCCTCCTCGACAGTGTACTCTGGATGAACTCATCCTTGTTGGTGTAAATTCTTTTTACTGCCCAAGTCACCAGCCCTCCCTCTCCAGCCCTCTTCTCAAAGGGCACTCAAACCCAGTTCCATTAAAACTTGTAGGCTTTTCAAAGCTTCAAAAATAGAAAATCCCAAAAACTATTAAGGGCCTTAAACAGAAAAAAAGGAGATTCACTAGAGTGTGAAAACAGTACTGAGGGAAAACAATAGGAACCTCATCTATAAGAGGTCAAGTCCTTACAAGTAGGCACAAGCTTAAGAATAGCAGGTTGGCTGGGGATTTAGCTTAGCAGCATAAGCACCTGCCTGGCAAGCACGAAGTTGTGAGTTTGATTCCCGGTACCAAAAAAAAGAATAGCAGGTTGCTCACCACTACATTTGGCTTTAAGGGTAAATGGTGTAGCAACACAAGACAAAATTACAATGGTAGTAGCAGAGCAGGAACAAAGCTGGTTGAAGATATGATCCCAAAATAAAAAAACCTCAAGAAACAAGAAGGCCTCACAAAATCTAGTGAGTCCCAAAGATGAGGGGCCAAAGATCTCAGTTGCAAACTTTTTAAATGAAGAGCTCCCTGTTGGTCTATAGGGATTGTATACTAAGGTCTGACTGTACCATCAACCAAAAAGAAGCAACAACAACAAAAAAATACCTTCATGAGTGAAAGATGTTTCCAGCCTGGATTCCGTACACCCTGGGTCTGCTCAGTATTGCCACATACTCAGCAAATAAAAGTGGTGTAAGCAACCAAGTCAGAGGGAAGTGAGGAAATTCCATAGTACTGTGATTAGCAATGTATGTGTTTTTCAGCTTACCATGTTCATTATATAAGTTGTTATAGTGCTAAAAAGTAAGATATTTAATATGAAAAGGGTTTGTCTTTGAGAATATCAGAGTTACGAGAAATTGGAAGCACTATCCCACTCTACACCAGAGAATTCCCAAAGGACACCAAGGATTCAAGTATGTGTGGGGATCACCACCAAGATAGGACATTGTAGACAAGCGCCTTCTCCAAGTTAAACATTACATTTAACAAAGGGCTGAGGGGTTCACTTTTGAGGATTCCAGTTTGTTTCCAGAAGCAATTTCAAACTAGGGTAGTAGAGGTTATTAGAATTTCTAAAAGGACAAAATTTTACCTTTGGTCTCTTCTGGGGGGATAGTCTACATTACAATCATCTAGAGAGATTTTATTTAAATCTCAGTGCTATCACATCCCACTCCAATTACATTAAAATGCCTGGAGAAAGGAGCCAGGAATTTGGTTTTTGGTTGCTGCTGTTACTGTTTTAAACACTAGCTTATTCCTTGATGGGCAAAGAGACTGGAGATGTGCTGCCCAAATCTCAAACTTCCTTGTGACGCAGCAATGAGAGCTGCAGTTAGAGTGTCTAAATTCAAAGTCATAAATCAGCTTATCAGGTGTCACACAGGATTTCCGCCACTTAGGCTTTCCCATAATGACCCTGAAAGGAAAGGGTTCTGCTAGAACCCAAGTCATTACTGACATGAGGACAAGGCTCCATTTTTACTAGGCATGCATAGAGGCGAAGTAAAGAGAACGCAATTTCCATTGGTATCACTTTAATTCTTACTATCAATATGAATACACTGTTCTGTTCTCAGAGACAAATTTGAATTGTTTGGCAACTGAGGGCAGTTTACTTACATACTTTTACTGATTAGAAAGAGAAATAAGTCTAAGCCTCAATTGTTAAGGAAAAAAGAAAAGGGAGAGCTCTATGTCTCTTTTTTCTGGGTAATGTTCAAAGCTGCAAGCAATAAAAGAATTTGCACTTCAACACCCCATCCAACTTCCTACCCGCCCCCCACTCCCACCAGCACCCCCACACCTGTTTTCTTTGTTTCAAGTACTGGTCCTACATTCTAGGAACACACACAAAGGCAAAACAAACAAAACAAAAAGAAGTCCTGGGTTCCATTTCTAACACCACTAAAAAAAACTTTTTTAAATCAGGATTTGAGTATTTTGCCAATGAAGGAAAAATGCTGAACATCACTAATCATTTAAAAAATGCAAATTAAAGCTATTATGAAATATCACTTCATACCCAGAAGACTGTCTATTATCAAAAATAAACCAAACAAAATCCAGCATCATTCATGATAAAAACTCAGAAGAAAATCATTATAGAAACCTTTCCTTATAAAG